GTACCCCGGATTAGCCTCACCCCACCTCACCTCACCTCACCTCACCTCACCTCACCTCACCTCACCTCACCTCACCTCACCTCACCTCACCTCACCTCACCTCACCTCACCTCACCTCACCTCACCTCACCTCACCTCACCTCACCTCACCTCACCTCACCTCACCCTTGGGCTACGCTGCATCGTCGTAGGGCTCCGGACACGTGGCGCATTCTTCCCCGCAGCAGGGCCGTGCAAAGGCAACACCGCTGCCGCAGCAGCGACTGCAACGACCCGTCCTTCAGCAGCAGCAGCCGCACTGCGGGACGTTGCCGGAGGCTGCAGCGCCCTCACATGCTACAATGATGGACGTGGCCGGTAGCCGGGCGGCAGCTGCGTCCAGCGCAGTAGCAGCGCCAGCGCCAGCACCAGCGCCAGCACCAGCACCAGCGCCGCCTTGCACCCCGCGGGGGAGGGGGGGTGATGAGGGCGCTGAGGGAAGTGGGTTCCCGCCGGTGCCCAGCTCACCGCTGGGCAAGCGCACCCGACCGGATGCCGTTGCACCAGCGGACGCGGATCTGGGTAAGGCCACGACAGCGACGACATTTTAACTAATTTAGCATACCCCATATGGGTGTATATATATATGTATGTATACATATGCGGTGTGCGCTTTCTCGCTTTACATGGACGGATTCCCGCCACTCTCCCACAGTAGTAGCAGCAGCAGCAGCAGCAATCGCGAACAGCACCAGCAGCAGGCCAGTCCTTCCTAGGGTGGGGTGGTCGCATTCCGTGGCATCCTGCAAATAATGTTGATCCCAATGCGAATCCCAATGGCGACGACTTGCAAAAGCCAATGCAGTTCGGGCCTCACGTAGCGATGAAAAAGTAGGACGATACTGCTGCCGGGTGGACTCGAATTGAACCGAACTGGGACTGGGACTGGCCGGCTGGCTGGCTGGCTGGCAGCAGTCAATGCCGACCGTAACACGCCACAAGGCCTCTTGGTGGCCGTTTCCCCCCTTGAGAATGTGTTCCCCCAACAGAGAAGAGGTCCACACATCGCATATGTCTTTTTTTAGCTTTATTGACCCTGTGCGCTGCTACACCACTCTGCACCCCACTCGTAACTCACCACAAGTAACCACCGCACACTAGTAAACTAGACCCTATTTACAATATTGAGACAATCCCTACTCGCTGGTGACTTTGCCCCTTGGGGTTGGATGGGGGGAGGGTTGTCTCCTCAACTCCTCAGTGGCTTGTCCAACCCGCTTTGGTACCTCGCAGGCTCGCCAACAGCATGTCCGCGCACCGCATTGGCACAGGGCCCGCCCTCTGGTCGGAGGTTCTCCCGGCTGAGTACCTCCAGGCGCAGGGGACATGACCGCCTGTTGACGCCGGAGTCTGAGGGGGCCGGCAGGGGGGATGATGCTGGTGGGCGTGGCGACGGAACGCCACGTCAAGGGGCTCCGCCATTGTCACAGCACCGCCCGGGAGACCCCAGCGCTGGTACGGGCGTGGGGCAGGCGCATCGCTCTGGTTGTGGCGGCACCACTAACGGCGGTGGCGCCGGCAGCGGCGCCGCGGGGCGCCCTCACTCGGCGGCCGTTACCCAAACGCAGCAGCAGGAACAGCATGGGCGCGATCGGGTGCCCTGCAGGCAATCAGTGCGCGCGCTGGATGTGGTGGAGGAGCGAGCGTGTGCTGGACGGCAACCTCGTCACCAGGGTATCGCCGCAGCCCAGCCGCCTGGAGGGGGACCACCAGCCGCCGCCGGCCCGCAGCTGAGGACGCAGCCGCTGCGTCCCACACAGGGTCACATAGTGGTCGTAGATTTGGTGAGTGACGATGACAGGGATTAGCACCGCAGTCACGCGGCTGGGGAGGTAAAATCCTTAAGGGACTGACGGGGTTTGGGGTTGTTTCCACTGCGGGTAAAGGAGGCTTGGATCGGGCGGGGCGCCGGAGAGTCTATGTACAGTGGCGTGAGGTGGTGCTGTGAGGTTTGTGTGTGTGGGTTAGCATTGGCGTTATAGGGATAGGATAGAAGGACATCAGGCATTACTTCCCGGTCGTCGCCGTCGTGTTGTTGGTAGTGTTGTCTTCTAGTGCTGCCCGTTGATGCGGGAAAGGAATGTTTTGCAAAGCGAAGAGGTTGTAGATTACGTTTCGTTTGACCTCTTAATGCAAGGACTACAGCTCACTTACGTCCAGGGCGCGCATCATCCGTTTACTGACAGACAGACAGATAGACAGACAAACGCGCATACGTTGACGGATAGAGGAGCATGCATAGACGAACGGAGAGACAAGGTAATGGATAGACAGACAGACAGACAGACAGGCCACGGCCATCTGCATTTGTCATGGCTCGGAAGGCGGTGACGTCCTGGCGACGTACAGCATACAGCGCGACTCGCATCGAGCTCGCAAGTACCAAGGGGGGAAACGCATGGTCTAGGGCTCCAGTTCGCACGCACATTCATTCGACACGCTGTTTGTGGAAAGTGCCTGAATGAATGGAATGTCAAGAGCCATTCTGCACCTGATGGTGTAATGTGCACTCCCCGGGTGTGTCATAGTGCACATTTTGGTCGCACATGTGCACGTGTCGTTCTGCGTCGCGCACACACGTGTGCGACCACAGCGTGTTCTCAGGTCCAGGAACTTTTAAAATTCCCTGGCAATACTTGTGCAGTTTTTTGTCAGGACAGGCTCAGGATGGACTTTTGCGTTGGGAACGTGCCACGTCGGGTAACCACCGTCGTGTTGACCTTGGGGTGTGTGTGTGCGGTGAAAGTGCGGGGGGGTTGAGAATGAGCGGTGCGCTATGTCGTGTGTGTGCGCCGGGTGGTGGTGGGTTTCCTTTCCGATTTAAATTCTCTCTTGCACATGCGCGGTGGTGCACGCGCGTACAATGAATTGCTCTTCCCGCCCCGTCTTCCAGCGGGAGATTAACTTCTCCAAAGGCACCTAGGCCGCTAATTTCTCTGGGTACATACACATGCTGTGAGGCCCCCTAATCGCACGGATGACAGGGGGAGCATGCTTTCTTGGCTGCCTTGTTGCTTGGGTGGCACAAGAATGAAGCAGTAGCAAATCCCCCACCGGCTGCCGTCTGCCGGGTCCTTGTGCTCAGGTCTTTGGGGTTCACCCCCTGCTGCTGTGACGGCCTCTGCCGGGGTTTGAGTTATCGCAAAGAGAGCTTTGGCCAGGTGCCGAGCTTGCTAGTTGGGAGACATCGTACTTTGTTACATGCGGGAACCGTTGCAAGTGTGCGGTTAAGCTCTGTACCGTACGACCACCGTGACCTTACCACGCCGCGAACTCCGCTAGTAACCCGGGATCCGTACCTCCTTGATCAGCAATCCGCACCGAACCCGTGTTTACCGGAAAATGGTTATATTGGTGATGTGATCTCATGCAAAGCACGCCCAAGTGCATATGCAGCAAAAGCCCACCGCTTGCGAAGCTTTCCAAACACCACTCTTGCAAATAGCTGTGGTGACAAAACGCCTGCTCCGAGAAAACTGCAGGAAAATAGCGTCGAACACAACCCTGTGATGCACAGCTCTCTCCAATGTCGAACCTCTGCTCTCCTGCACTGACCTATGCAGCGATGCCCTCTACGCCCTCATGAAAGCAATGCAAAAAGTAATCCCACAAGACACGCACCAAACAAAAGGTACAGCCCACAAGGTGCTAGTAAAGCGCCCTGCAACGATACCATAAAGTAAAAAGATGTCTCGCTCTGCACACCTGCACATTTCCAAACACCCGCCTGTCGAACTTTCCAAACACGCACATTTCCAAACACGCCGCCGCCGCAGCAGTAGCAACGGCCATAATGTGACAGCAGCTATGCACCACAATCCCTCACACTGCCTCAATGTACACCGACATAACTAATACGACCGTACATTTGCTGTACGTTCCGTACAAGGGCAGGCCTCCCGCTTTGCCCTTCGCAATGTGCCCTATCGACCAAAATCACCACAACGTCGCTGTCTCCTGGTGGCGACTTCACTGTACAGCCAGCCTCTGCAGCTGCGTCGCCCATCGCCCGTGCGGTACAGAATAGCACAAACAGAGTAAATCCATCGAACTTAAAAACGCCACGGACACACGTACACACACCAAATACACATTACAGGCATATATTGCACTCGCAGCAAACCTACTTAAACCAGCAGCAAACTCTCCTCATCACTGACAAAACCATCAAGCCCCATCCAAGCTTCGTTCAGTTATGCATTAGAGCTTCATCCCGCAACACCCCTACTGCCGCCCCGAAAGTGTGGCCCTGGCAGTGGTAATGGCCGCGCTCTGCTCTCCTGGACTCGCAAAATTCCTCGACATTCAAAAATATTACCTTTCAAACAGCCTATCGGTCAGCGCCTCAACTCACTACTAGACACACTCGCTGCCCAGTCAGCTGCGCTCACTCACTTCTTGGCGGTGGCGTAGGTGTAGAGCGCGAACGTCGCGATCAGCAACGCCCCGCCCAGGTTGGATAGCGCGGGGAAGTCGATGTCTACCTGGTCAGAGAGGATCGCGCTACGGAGGAGCGGAAGACGGGGCGGAAGAGAGGGCGAAGGGAAGGGATGATGAAAGGACACCCGTGCCAATCGAATGCATTGCCGTACACTGTACTGCATACCTGCCAAATATGATTGAGTAGCCGTACTCCAGAGCCGCCAATCCTGAGAGATATGCAAAGGCCCACAATGTGGCGGTGGTGGGTGGGTGGGTGGTGGGTGGGTGGTATAGGGAATAATAGGAATCCAGGGGGCGCAAGGGTCGTGGAGCTTGTGGGAATATGGTGCAGGTAGGAGGTAGCCCTTACGTGGGTTGTCCCCCCGTCAGAGGCCACCCTTCAGGCTTGAACCAGCAGTACAGCAGTGGGGAGGTGAGATATGATGCGAGTTGAGGGATAACAAGTTGCAGAGCAGACGAATCTTCCACCAGGTTTGATTCCCCATGGAACCTGAGCCCGACTCAGCCGCAGTCCCCAACCCACATCACATCACATCACATCACACCGCACAACAGCACCCACCGAGGTTGAGGTTCTTGAAGGTGGATGCGCCCAGGCGCCCGCGGTCAGCAGCGTCCTGAGCAGCGGCGAGGGGGGAATGCAGGAAGGGGAAATGAGACACCCCGGGGGGGGGGAGGGGGAAGAGGGACGACGGACTCCCCACCGTGTAGTGTGGCAGTTGGGACAGTTGGCCAGAAGGGTGAGTGGGAAGCAAATGTGGGACGCGCATGAGTACGGCATTAACTGGACGGCGACACGGACTCCCGGGACCACCCATGTGGCCCCACACGGACCACTCCAGTCGCTGCCACGATTCACGTGTGTGTAATCTTTTGTTGCCCGTGGGCCTCGGCTAGGGAAGTGTGGGATACTAACTCCTGCCGTGTCATTCTAGTTCGTACCTTGAGAACGTACGACATTACGCCAGCCAGGAGGAATCCAGGCGCCCAAACACCCTTCACCAGGGGGGTGATGGCGCTGTACGGATCTCCCGTGAAGAGCGTCTGTACGATGGGGGTACGACAGTTAACATGGCAGCAGCAATCAGTGTACCCCTCACAGCAGCAGGATTGTGCAGGGTATCGTGTGCACATACATACATACATACATACATACATACATTACCGTAGTGCTACTTATAGTTCGTTCTACAATAATTCGGGAGGCACCACGAATATGTAGCACGTACAAATTCTAAGGTATCCCAAGGGACCGCAGCCCCGAAATATCGTACCCTCCAAGCCGGTCGGTCAAACTTCGCAAAATCTAGGATTTCAAGGCGGAAATCAGCTCTTAAATACATAAAATATAGTCATAAACGTACGACATGAACAACGCTGGAAAACGTGCAAGACAGGCAACCCTGCTTCAATGCGGGATGAAACCGCTAGCACCAAACGCTCCGGTGAGCGACGGAGCTGGATTTGCAGGCTTGATGATGCTGTTGTCGAGGCCCAGCGTGAGCGAATGGAGCACGAGGAGGTTGCTAGGCGCGAGCGCAAAGCGGTCAATGCTACGGCAGCCGTTCCTGTTTGGTGCATCCAGCTGCGTCGTAATGCCTTTTACGTCGGGGTTTCAGCCACATAAAGACACGTTTCAGTAGCAACCACCCAAACACTGTATTGGCCCGGCCGGTTGGTTATTAGGTCGTTGCCACTGGTACTGAACTGTACGATCGGTCCAGAATTTGCTAGGGCGTTTCCAAAGTGCGAAAATGGTGAGAGACCATGAGCCTAAGGGTTCCCGGTGGAGGGAGACTGACTGGAAGCTGCAGTTTGAAAAGCCCCGAAACTTTGGAAGGGGCCCCGAAATTTGTATCATGCCCGCAAAATCTGGTCCGGCCTTCCCCGAAATTCAAAGAGCACGTACAAATTTTTAGAAAAATGTTGACGCCTCCCCGAACAAAGCGATCACGAACTATAAGTAGCACTACGGTACCCCTCACCCACCCACCCCCTCTACCTCGGGTGCGAAACACGCCACCACGGTGAGCAGGTAGAGGGCGATGCAGACGGTGTAGCCCCAGGAGGTGGAGTTCTGGGGAGCCCCTAGGTCCAGGGGGGGCGGCGCCAGACCCTTGCCCGAGGTGTGAGAGATCACTGCGTGGAGTCAACCCAGGGGAGGTCTGGTGCATGAGTCGAAGAGGGGGCTGCTGACGTCCCAAGACTCTAAAGCGAAGTTGAGTAGTTGGGAACGGAATCATTATCAGCCGGTTTCCCACTTGTTGTTTCGGAGCTGCAGTACAAACAGCGACGCGACCTCCGTACCATACCCGCCAGGTCGGTTTATGGGCGGGGGGGTGTATGATTGATCACACGGGCGTGAGATGATGCGCTACCGGCTAAAAGAAGGCACCAGGTCACCACGGCCGCATGCACGCACCACGGCTCACCTGACAAGTTGATGGTTCCGGCTGCCACCGCCGTACACGCGTACGACATCCACACCAGGGGGTTCCACAGCCTGAAGGTGGCGGGTGTGTTGATCAGCAGCACTGCCAGGAAGCCCGCGGACTTGAGCACGCAAGCGGACATCAGGCGCTGGTAGGTGGCGGACTTGAGCAGCTGGGACTCCGCAGCGTGCTGCGGTTGCGATGTGGTGGACGAGCGTGGGAGCGCATCACCCAGGGCGCATGGATGGATGGATGGATGGGTCTTCGGGTCACCAGACGGTGAGGAGTTAATCAGGGGGCCGTATCATATGAAAGGAGTTTATTTCTACTTCCTTTTGGGGTTCGGGGGTTGGACGGGTTAAACGGAGCTGGGTGATCCGCATGGATGGGGGAGAAACTCGGATGGCACACACACACACACACACACACACGCACATACACGCACACGCACGCACACACACGCACACACACACACACACGCCATGACGCGGCGGACAGCAGTACCCATGGGGCCCAGATGGACCAGGGGACAAGGCTGCGGTAGCGCTGGGCGGCTGCTCGCTGCTCATGATACGGGTTCTACGTATGTGCGAAGGGGGCTGTCGGTCCGCTGGGCAGGAGTTGCGTCAGGACGGGTGATGAGAGATGGGGTGGCCGCCGAGGGGGGGGCCCGGCAGAAGAAGGGAGGCAGCCGGCAAAACCTGAACCCGTGCGTTGCGTTGCATTACGCGTGTGTGCGTAAAATGCGATTCAGGACGGCAACATGCGCGGATATGCGTGGATGTGTGTGAAGAGGTGCGTGATTTAGAGGGCGGCTTGCAGTGCACGCGAGAAAATAGCAGTAAATGTCCTGGCCTCTTTTGTCGTACACTCGCCGCAACCTAAAACGCCGCCCTTCCTTGTACGCGCACACACGCGAACGGGGGGAGCGAGTGAATGTACGGACCTTGAGGCTGTACTCCACCGCCGCGCTGGCAGCTAGCGTGACCCCGACAATCCTTAGAAAAGTGATATCCAAATCCGAGGGGATGGCCTGGTTTCGTTGGGGGAGTGTGGGGGAAGGGGAGAAGGAAGTAGGGCAGCAATGCACAAAGGTCTCTGAGGCGCAAGCAGGGATGTATGTATGTGTATGTATGTATGTTGTTACAGGGTGGTTAACTTCGCCAGCGGCCCCCTTACCCGAGGCAGTCCCTGCTAGAGGGGCACCCTAATCCGTCACCCCATCCGACTTCAGAATGTATTCGTTGCAACCAAATCTAGCGGATCAACGGCGCCTCAACTCGCAAGTTGATATTATCACGTCCTACATCGTCCATAGGATGGGGGGCCACCTCCCATTTCAACACTCCTCAAACACCCGAGGAGCCGGCAGGCGGATTTGAACCCGGGTCGGCCGGGAGCAGAAGTCAGGCCTTAACCTCTGCCAGCCGCCTGCCTGTACTTATTGCGTATATGTATGGCTGCAAGGACCGCAACGTAACAACATGAATGACAGTAGCAGTAGCAGTAGCAGTAGCAGCAGCAGCAGCAGCAACTGATCCGTACTTAGTACGCTAGGTCTGCCAGCCGTACCATGATCCTGTCTGAACATTCTCCCGGGGGGGGGTCGCTAGGGGTTTCCAAGTTACGAGCCCGAGTCACCCGTAGAGAGGTCACCACACCCGACACATAATTTCGCAACCCATAACTCCACCTTGGGTAGAGCGAGGTGCAGCACGGCCTCCGGCTCCACAATGCTCAGTACGGCAAGGATGGCGCTAGTGGCAGCTAGCGCAGTGAAGGCGGTGGACTGGTTCTTGGGTGTCGCCAGCAACTCTGCGCCGTACAGAGTACGTCAACACTAATTAGTACGCTGACCGCGATGCAGCGGTTCACAGAGGCAACAGAAAGATTTTGAACAAACCTCCGCCTCACTCACAAGCTAGTGCATTAAGCCCAATGCAGTCAGGTAAGTAGCTAAATCAGATTTGCGAGGTAGGTGGCCGAACAGGCTTAGGGCTCACCAACCAGGTCCAGGGTGGGCAGGGAAAGGGGCCCCTCGCGGGAGTCCGATGCAGCCGCTGGCTCTGTCGCCGCCGTCGGTGCCTGTGGCTGCGGCGAAGGCTGCGCCGCATCCGCTGGCTTTGCCGATGACGCTGGCTTCGCTGTCGCCGCCGCCGGCTGCGACCAAGGTGATGGCGGCTGCGGCGGCGGCGGTGGTGTCGCCGCCGAGGGCCCCGCGGGGGCCGTTGACGTTGGCTTGGATTCCGCCGGTGACGGCAACGTTGCTGTGCTCACCTTGCCGTTGCTGCGCTCTGCTCCGCGCGCCGCCGCCATCTTGTCGCCCAAGCCGCTGCTGTCGCTGCCTCCGGTGCCGCTGCCGCCCTCGATCTGTGCACGCCAATCGCCGCGAGTCGCAGCGGTCTGCGACTGGGGAAGCAGCAGCCAGCAAACAGGCTGGGCAGACTACACATACACATACACATACGCACACACACTCTCTCTCTATTTTGGGGGGTCCCTCGTCATAAGAACATCCACTCGATTGCCCATCAACTGTCCATTTCATTGAGGAGAGTGGAGAGAGGGTGACGGGTCTCCAAAAGACAGCTAGCCGCAGGGTGTCACCGCAAAAAGGGTACGCGCCTTGTTGAAAGAGCTGCAGCTAGCGCAGCACCTTTCCATTCCATTCGCGGAGGATGGGCTGGGGAGCACGAAGAGCAAAAGAGAGGCGTACTACGGTGGGGGAGGCGGGGAGCGGCCATTGGGGTGTTGGAAGGTAGACATGGAGGTTTACACGGTCCATACGTACGGCAACCGGTTCCTGCTGATACACCTCAAGTCTCTGTGCACGAGGCGATTTGGGTTCGCGGAAAGAGTGATGTCATGTGACGTGATGTGATGGGGCGAAGACGGTGGTAAGCCCAGCTCGCTGGCATTCTGGCCAGGCGTAATGGATCACAAGTCCTGTTTTCACACGCTCCACGCACTGCGCTGACGGCTGAGGTTATCTTATCGCCGTGCTAATAGACACAGGGAAGGAGCGAAAAATCGGTTTCTCAGATGTGTGATCCGGTCAAGTGATCCAGTCGGGCTGTCCGGGCTGCATAGGCGTGTCCAGCCAGGTACCTCAACACGCCACGCTTACCTTGAAGCTGCGCCTCATTGTCCAAGCATCATCGAGGCGCTTGCCTGCGAGGTTGTTATACGATAATCGGGAGTTAGCAACTTAATGGAGCTCCTTCCCCTTTGAGAAATGCCAACCCTTCCGAGGCAGCTGGATGGGAACCAACCCTAACATCTATTGCAGTACCCAAAGGTTTCCTAATGTATTGACTTTCTTAAGTGAAAAATTGTGCACGGAGAGCAGTTTCTACAACTGCGACCCCGCAGGTGTTGATGGCCCATCTGCCTCAGCGACTGGACGCCCGCTCTCCTCACCAGGCAAGGCCGATGCCATGCGCGCAGCACCATGGCGGTGCATAAGGAATGCTCCTTGCATTCTCCTTATGGTGGTCAGCGATGAGGAGGAGAGGCAAGTTTACCAACGAGCAACGGTTCCCCTTTCTCTAATACGAGCCTTCTTGTTGGCTGATGCTGTAATACTACGCGTGTAAAGGATATGACTTTTACTATCTCACGCGTTCTTATTTGGCAACGCCCAAGCATGGCTGTGGCCTGAATGTTCTGCTACTACGACACATGCTGGCTGGCCAAACCTCATAATGAGATGTTGTCAAAGCATCAGATGAATACTTCTACGAGTAACGTATTTGCTTACATAACTCAACCACTCGGCCCACGGGTCCGTCGGAAGCTTCTTCACCGACACATTTAAGTACATGCAATGTGGTAACTGGCAGTAGTGGAGACTGCTTTCCGAACGTAGGTATGTGTGTGTGTGTGGTTGTTACAGTGGGCTCCAGCGGGCCAGCGGGCCGTTCACTGCACCTGAGACGAACATGATAAACTAGACTCCCACTCAAATGAGACAACGTAAGTATGCAATATCCAATGATTCAACGCAAGGCATGTGTTGCCGTAAGTATGCAGACATAACCTTTGGTTGGGAATTCCACTCTTGACTTACTATCTTGGCCGTTAGTGCTTAGTACCTGGGTCAATGGTTTGTTTTTCCACCCGTGTTTAGTCTCCTACCTAATAAAGGCTACCACTTTTCGGTTTGCTGGCACTCCGGTCTTGTGTTTCTGGGCACTGTTCGTCGGAGAAGTCACGCTCCCGTCCAAAGCCAGAGAGTTCATACCGTCCCGTCCTCCCGTCCTACCAGCCATCCCGTCCTCGAGACGTGTGATTAAGTAATCTGTCATGGACTCGGCAATCAGCAGAGTAACGCTGCCAGCGTTTGGTCATGTCCTTTGATTTAACATTTGTGTCTCAACTAAGGGTAATGAGGCTAGCGAAGCCAGTGTTTAAGGCCCACACCGTGTGGGCTGCCTAAGGCCAACAGTGTTGTGCGGGTGACGCTCGCTATGGCGTTGCAGACGTGCCGTTCGGGCTCCACTGTTAAAGTCATGCGATTACTACCAACTATTGACCCCAGCAGTGTGATATCTTGCGGATTCAGGGACATTCGCCCAAAAGGATCCGTTCCATGTATCGCATGTAACCCGTAACTCAAGAAGACAGGACAAATTTCAAACCGTTACAATATCCTTGCAGCTGCTAAACAAACCAAGCTTATGAGGATAGATTGCACTCGATAACGGCAACACGCGACTATGGCCAAGAGACAATTGCAATATGCATTGCTAGTTGCCACAAAGGACGTGCCGTACAAGTGCCCCGACAGAAATCGTCCCTATTTGACAATGACTTTATATTTGAACTGGCATCCATGTCGATGCTTTTGGTGAATAACCCTTTCTTTCTTAAGGTGAACACCTTCATTAGGGAATGGGCGCATAGTTTTCAACTGACAGATGCACAGTAAAAACATTTAACCAGAAGAGTAAGCACATGACCGCCATAACTTTATTGTGCACTAATCCGCAGGCCCTTCGTCTTCAACGCGTCTGCCGAAATTGTCTTCTGGCAGCTGCCGACGCTGCCGTCGCAGGGGTGCGAGTGCGTCATCCAAACGGTTCGTCCGCTCCCTGCGATCGGAAATTTCGCTGACGACGATTAAAGCTGCGCCGACGACCATCCCAGCAGCAGTACACAAGGCCGATTTAAGCTGATCGCCTTTAGGTCGCGGACCCTCACCTACACATGCAGGGAAAAGGACAATCAGGAGGAGGAAAAAGTGTAAACAGCTGTTTGCGTCTGCCTCCTTACTCTCTCCACGGTACCTTCTTCATGTTGCAAGACAAGTACGCAACTCACGGAACTGAATGCGCAAGGGATACGCGCTCTGTGCGCTCTGCCAGGAGGCCCACAGCAGTTGGCGACGGGACGCAACGGCAACGCGGCCTAGGGAGTTGCGCGCAGAACTCCAGATTAAGGGTGCAGCATGATCAAATCATGACATATTAAAGCAGCTCGGGTCACCTGCACAACCCTGCCTTAGTAGAAGAGGCCACTTACTCGTTCGCCGCTCGCTCTTCTACGTGTCTGATCTACTTGCCAGTCTTGGTGACGGGCGCGGAAGCCGGGGTAGCGGCAGCCACAACGCCGGCGCGCTGCCGGGCGCGAGCCTCCTCAATAAGCTTCATTTGCTTCTTGTAGCCGTAGATTGGCATGGCCGCAGAAGCCACGAGCAGGGGCAGGCACCACACCGGGAAGTTGCCCTGGGGAGCTGCAAATCGAAGGACGATGGCAAAAGAAACGCGAGTAGATAATCGCTTTCTGCGCTTGAGGCACACATGCCATCATACAATTACTTCCAGAAGCCAGCCAACACACATAAACCCAAAGGGCTCATGCAATGCTTCATGTAATTCCTATCCAGGTTCCTACAGACTTTAGGAAGGACTTCCAAAACCAGGTCAAGAACTGCAGCCATACAAACATTCATCTACAGAACTTACGGGGAGCAGGCGCAGGTGATTGCCCAGAAGCGATCGGGCCCGCAGCGCTCGACGCCGCGCGAGGGCGATGGTCAGCTGCAGCCCAGTAGAACGGAGAAGAACGGGAAGCTTACAACCGATAATACACTTCGGAGACAGAATTTCCCATGTTAATTCTTTTGCGTACTTTGGACCTTGCCAAGTGGAAACACCATGTCACTCGGGACCAATCGACGCACCCTTTGGCCCAGGCCTGGGGCGGAAATTGGGCTGACCACCAGCGATGCGGAGGATATAGGACATGTTTATATAATTAAACCTGCAAACATGGGATACGATGGGCCACTCCGTTTAACAGCACAGCAAGCATCGGTAGTGAGTGAGTAAAGCCCATGAAAACTTGCAGCAACTCGACGAAAGTGGCGGAACCCAATACGCATAAAGGCTAGCGGAAAAGGTGTTTGGAAAAGAGACAGGGTCCTAACAATTTCCCTAGATGTCCGGACGGTTCCGAAAAGAACCCTCGTCGGCAAGCCCATGAGCACAAGACAACAGCAAGGTTTTCTGCGCAAATACGAGGTAATAAATCCGAAACTTTGAAGAATTTCCTTTCGGAAGAAGTCAAATGAAGCTAGGTCCTTTTGTACCATACGATGGCAAAACTTCCGAATTGCTATAGGGATGCCAAAACGAAGCATCCGCGAGGGAAGAGGTAGCATCTCACATAAAACAGCCTATTAGCTCATGAGCTTACCTTGAGGAGAGTGTCTTGAGTAAGGGGTCTCGGAAGTACCGGTACTGTCGCTTGGACAATTGAAATTCTATCCTGGATTACCTTGGAAATTAATTACAAATTGTATACAAAGCATTGGAGTCTGGCCCTTTATATGCAGAGCGTGAACGTCACGACGGAGACGACGGGTGACGAGCAAGTCGTGCAGCTTGCGGCATGCAGCAAGATTTCTTCTAGGATGATGTCGTACTTACTTTAATCGCGGAGAATTATTATCCTGAAAAATTGGATCGCGAAAACCCTAGTAGGATGGGAGGACGCATAGGGCTCGGACGCAAGCAAAATCTGAAAAGTGCACCGAAGGAGTTATTAGAGGATTGTCTGATTGTGGATAGTATTATCGGTTTGCTTTTAAGTGCATGTGAACCAAAATTGGGACGTCTATCATGCGCTACGATATGTCCTCATCGGTCACGTAAACGCCGGCATATTACTGGCATTTACGCTCACGTGGGGGTTTGTCCAGCTGTTACTCCGCAGGTTGCAGACTTTTACACCGTTGTCCAAGATTACCAACAATGCCTTTGGATGCCTACTTGTCAATGCAGTCTTGAAACAAACCGACATGAGCAGCACTGAAAGTTTCACAAAGTTTCAAAATAGCGTCAGATAGCGTCTTTGGAAAACTGGAATCGCGAATGCATTCCATAACCATTCGCATTAATAAATTCGTAATGTGGATAACGGCGAACAGATATTTCCGCTGATATTTACAATTTTCTGTAGAAGTATCCCATACTGCTGCTATGGCCGCCGCCCATATCCGATATCTCGGCCACCATTACACAGGGAGCAAGACATGCGTTACATAGTGTTGGGGTTTGGCACCGACCCGGCAGATTCCGTTGGATGCTGGTGGTGGGTGCGGAACCTGAGCGATCCACTGAGAAGTTGACTAGGGTGACTGGATGAGGGTGCCCCGAGATACCAGGGAAGGCAGGGTTTCGCAGGGTAGCTGCCACGGGCGAAGATACACCCCCCTGTTTCACACATCATAGTGTCGAGTGCTCAACCCGTTACTGGAAAGCGCGCATGTCTGTGCCTACACACCCGAGTTGAGGGGCCTGTAACAAGACCTTCTTGGGAACTGTAGCTCACCTCAGCTCAGCTCGGTGCAATCATATGTCTCACACACAAGACGCTAATCGCGAGCTCAGTCCATTTCTTTTCCTTTGCCTTACTCCACTCCTCTTAGCCTCTCTGGGGCCCTTCTTGAGGTAAAACAGAAGGGCGTTGTCGCGTCCAGCACAACATTCGTAACCCTATCTTACCGTACAGCATCCGACCACACCGCTCTTAATGCCGTACTATCGCCGTACACCACCCCGCATACACCGCACCGCAGTACGCCAACGCACCTTCCACCCAGCCCTTCCTTAAAGACGCGACGCCATGCTTATTACGTTACCGGCAAAGCAGTATCAAAGTCGGTGGAATAGAAAACCCGGCCAAGGAGCCCGAGGTGAACTCCTCCTCCCCACATTCCCAAACCACCTCCGCATACGGATGTGTCGATGCGAGCTGCATCCTCCAAGCTCAGCCAAGCCACTGTGGGGGAGTTTGTGGGCGCTCTTCGCAAAGGAAACCAGGGCAAAGGCGCCATGGTTGTACCCGATTATGGCTGTTACAACACCGCCAACACCCAAATTGCGCTTCCCTCTCCAACGCGGCCGACTGACCCGTGAGTCCAAGCCAGCACACGGCACCCGCGCAACGCCTCAGTTGGGCCCCAACAAAGCCAGGGTCCTACCCAGCGCGAACGCCCCGTCATTTCCGCTTAACCGCCCGTGTACCCGTATCCCCCCCATTTAACCGCTTGGCCTGCTGATGCTTTTGCTTCTTCTGCTCCCCGACCTGCGACGGCTTCTCTACTTGCTGAGAATGCTGCTGCTTTTGGTGGTCATGTTGCCTTTCTGCAGCCCTCTTTTCGGCCTTCCCGCCCTTCTTTTGATGCTGCTGCTGCTGCTGGGCAGCTGGAGCTGACCTGGCAACGGTGGCCACTCCTCCAACCCCACCGCTGTTTTTCCCTTTAGCTGCTACTGCTGCCGAGGCTTTGGCTGCTGCGGCGGCGGCGGCTGCTGCGGCCTCCGCCTCCGCCACCTGGCGCTTTTGCAAGTGAATGTGGAAGCGCTTTAGCTGCTCAACCAACAGCGCCTTGTCCAACCGCAGCTGTTTGTTGCGGTGGAAGCGCCGGGATTCCAGAAACATCCCCCGCAGCGCGGCTCGGGCTGCTGCTGCCCCCGCCGGGCCAGGTCCCGACGCCGCCGCCTGGCCCGTCCGGTCGTTGTCTCGCCCTGGCCCGTCCTCATCAGCGTCGCACGCCTCGTCGTCCTGGGCCTCGAAATCGGATGGACCATCCCAGCCGTCGGCAGTGCCGTACTCAGCTACAAGTGCCTCGAGCTCTTGGAAGAATTCCGGCGGCGGCGCCGTCGCCGCGGCAGCGGCGGCACCGCCGCGCCGCCCTGCCCTGCCTTTCCTCCCCGCGACGGCCTTCGCCGGAGGCGGCGGCGGCGGCCGTACAAGTCCCCGCGACGCGTCGTACGCTGCCGCCAGCTCCGTAATCGTCGCCGGCGTGCCCAGCGGCCCCGTAAGTTGCACAGCGCCGCCAGCGGCGGCCGCTGCCGCCGCGGCACCTGGCCTGAGCGCCAGCAGCGAGCCCGCCGCCTGCGCCAGGTGGGGATGGTAGTGGGGCTCCGGGCAGCCTGACACGAGGCAGATCTCCCACAGCGTCGTGGCCAGGCCGCCTCCCTCCGACGGGTCGGCACAGTACGGATCATACGTACGGCCGCCCACAGTAGGCGCCTCGCCCTCGTACTCGAGCATATGAGCGAGCTTTGGATACCGCCGGAGTAACCTGAGGGCGGGGGAGTGGAGATACCAGCAGGCAGACACAGGTACAGGTACAGGTTTGTTCCCCCGGCCCCCCAAGACGCCCCTCTACATGGCTGTGTCCTATGGCTGCTGTACTGCTCTGCGGTGCTGCTACAGCCAATTGAAACCCTTCTCCACGCTCCAAAACCCGAATTAACGCCCGCCTCACTATGCACACACACATACAGACATACAAACATACGGAGAAACACACACCCACACCCACACATACGCAGCTCCGATGCCAAAACACACACTGGACCACACCAGCACCCGGTGGTGGCGACGCCAATGTCTTTCCCCCAAGAAATGACGGCTATAGTCCTAACGCCAGCTCATGTACGAAAAGTCCCATGTGCGCAGCGGCAGGCGGCAGGCCGCAGGCGGCGGCGCTAAAATCCTTCGTCAACCCCCGGGAGGGGTGGGCGAGGTGATGGCAGAGGCCGGCATTGTACCTGCCAATCGCAGCCCATAGCGCCATAGCCTCCCCCGGTCCCGCCAGCAGTGCCGTACTCGCCATCCGCTTCACAAACGCCGCCGTGCGCTGCATGTCCGCCATCTTGGGTTCGCAAAGTAAGGACTCCAACACGCCAGCCAGCAATACCGCAACGCTGGGAGCGGATGATGAGGAGAAGGAGAGCTGGTCTTGGGAGTCGGCGGCGACTGCCAGCGTCCCCGCCTGCGATGGCGGCGGCGGCGGCGCCGCCGCTGCCTCGACCGCCTGGTCACATGCCGCCGCCGTGACAATATCCTCATCGTTGTCATCCTCGCCTTCTTCGTCACCAGCACCGGCAACTATTCCATTACTGGTGGCTTTGTCGGCGGCGGGTGGGACGCTGTTTGGGGGGTCCTGCTTCGCGTGCTGCGCTTGACGATTGGTTGCGTCGTCAGTCACTAGGGAGTGAAAGGGTACCTGCGAAAGTACGAACGAAGTACGAAACATAAGTACGAACGAAGGACGGAAGAATCGTAATCACGACAGCAACAGCAGCAACGAAAATGCAAGTGACAGGAGGGGTAGGTAGGAAGGTAGGTAGATAGGTGGGTAGGTAGGTAGGTAGGTAGGTGGGTAGGTAGGTAGGTGGGTAGGTAGGTAGGTAGGTGGGTGGGTAGGTAGGTAGGTGGGTAGGTGAGTAGGTAGGTAGGTAGGTAGGTGAGTAGGTAGGTAGGTAGGTAGGTAGGTGGGTGGGTGGGTAGGTAGGTAGGTGGGTAGGTGAGTAGGTAGGTAGGTAGGTAGGTAGGTAGGTAGGTAGGTAGGTAGGTAGGTGGGTAGGTAGGTAGGTAGGTAGGTAAGTAGGTAGGTAGGTAGGTAGGTAGGTAGGAAGTAGGTGGATAGGTAGGTAGGTAGGTGGGTAGGTGGGTGGGTAGGTAGGTAGGTAGGTAGGTAGGTAGGTAGGTAGGTAGGTAGTAGCCAGGCAACGGGACAGCGCCGACAGGGACCTCCCACCCCCCCTCCGCGGAGAGTGTAAAGAGGAACCAAAATCCAACAAATCGTTGAATCTTGTTGGTTGGATCTTATTGGATCTGTATTGGATCACATTGGAACTTACTCTGGTACCAGAGCAGCCGCCCTGGGAAGGAACTTCAGTTAGAAAGGGCGGGCAGGACAGGGACCCCCCCGGCCAGCAGGAACGAGCCTCCTCAATTCCATTCCCCAGCACTGCCGTACCTGCAGTAGCGTGTCGTACAGCTGCACGTACAGCTCCCGCCGATCGACGTTCAGCGCCTCGCCCTGGCCCCTGAGCAGCGCCGCCTGCGTGGCGAGCAGCCTCAGCCTCTCTGGCAGGGGCAGTGCGGGTGCGGCCAGCAGTTCGTTGAACACCGCCAACAGGTCGTTCATGTAGTCCACGGAGATGAGGTGAGTGTACCTATGACACACGGACATACATACAGACGGACATACAGACAAACGGCAAGGGCAATCAAGCGGGCGAGGACGGGGTAACGTTGGTTGATGTGCATAACACAGCTCGGGGCGGGAAGAGGTTTGCCTGCCACTAGGGGGTCTGGATTACGGAACGACGGAGGAAGGGGGGGTTTTGGAACTGGGGGTTTCACACGCACTCCTCCTTTCACACGGCGCGTAACCCCCGCACTCGCACCCGCCCCCCCTTCCCGCACCTGGCCAGACCATCCAGCACCGGAAGCAGCAGCGGGCACCTCTTCAGCAGCCGGGCCCGGCTCCAAGGGGGGCTCAGACCGGCGCTGGGGACGCGAGGACCCCCCCCACCGCCCCCGCTCTCCACCTCGCCGTCTCCACTGCCACCCCCACCGGCTGCTGCTGCTGCCGCCGCTGCTGCCCCCGCCGACAGCCCCACCGCGCAGCAGTGCTTGAGGACTCGAAAGTAAATTTCGAACAGCGCTTCCAGCATTGAGCTCTTTCCCGCCAGGAAATGGTGGGAGGGCGGGAGGGGGAAAGGGGGGCCACGGTTCAGCACGGGGAAGGGGTTGAAACACACACAGACACACACACCAGGAGGAGAGGGACGCGGATGGCTCTCGCTGTACCTTAACAGCTGCAGCAGCAGTGCAGCTGCTACCCCGTACGACACCCCATTGAAGGGAGTGACGCGGGTGATGAGGCGGCGCGATGGTGGTTCCCAGAATAATACCACCACCCCCGGGGTCCTAACCACGCGGGCGCCTGCCCAACTCCCCTTCATCCCCACCACCTCACACTCGGGGCTCCGAGACCGCAGCTTAGAGGTCACGAATTAAGACCAACCCTTAGTCGAAACACACACACACACACGCACACACGCACGCACGCACATACCCCCCGGTAACCCATCACGCAGGCAGCCCAGCAGCCGGGGAGGCATGTCGTACTCGTACCTGTATCCTGGCCATCTCCTCCCGGTCCGGGCCCGCGGAGGACTCCTTGAAGGTCCGGGTCACGTCGTCCTCCTTCCGCCGCCGCTTGGCATCCCGCTTCTCAGCCTTGCGACCTGGATACAACCACAACGGAGCGGGGTGTGTGTGTCTGTGTGTGTGTCTGTGTGTGTGTGTGTGTGTGTGTGTCTGTGTGTGGAGGAGATAAACCCGCATGAAGCGAAAACACCGGAATAAGCAACTGCTGACGGACACCCAAACCACCAACTGCCGTACTGGAACCCAAACCCCACGTGTTGCGGGGACACAGAGGCGTTGTGTGTATGTATGTGTGTCTCGTCCCCGGCGCGTATGTCTTATCTGGTGGTCAGCCGCCTCTGGTCAGCGTGTCACATAAATACATACATACATACATACACATACATACATACATACATACATACACATACATACACGCCCCCAGACACCACCTCGGCCCCCCGCACCTTTCTTCCTCTTCCCCCCCGGACCCGCCTCCTCGTCCTCCCCCCCGCCCTGTCGGACCACGTCGAGGAATTTGAGCACCGACAACGTCCGAACGGTCTCCGGCGGCGCCACACACTTGCGCTTGCGGATCTGTGGCAGCAGTAGCAGTAGCAGATTGCGGCAGTGGCAGTGGCGGCATTAACAGTAGCGGCGGAGGCAACGGCAGTAGTAACAGTAGTTATAGTAGCAGAACCCCCTCCCCTCCCCTCCCCCCCCTCGATGGTGCCTCATGGCCAGTGCCCCCCTACCTCCTTGCTCAACCCCGCCTCTCCATTTCCATCGCCCGCCCCGCCCCTTGTGTCACACACACACACACACATACACACACACCGGGTTGTCTTCTCGCCGTACCATACTCCCCGCCCCCAGAGAAACACATGCACAATCGGCCCCCCCCGGCACCATTTCCCCCAAGCCACCAAGCTCACCATGTCGGCAATTAGCTGCACCGCCTCCAGTGCCGCCTTACCCGCCCCACCCTCATCCCCGCCGCTCCCCCCCAGCAGCAAAACCCGAACCGCCTCGCACGCCAGGGAGCGGATTTCCGGGTCAGAGGAGGACATGCGGGGAACAATTGCCTGGACAAGAAGGAGCAACCGCCGGGGGGCGTCGTACAAGGTCGTACGGCAAAGGAAAGCGGGGAAAGGTGAAGAGGATTGGAAGGGCGATAGGTGCAACTGCGGGCTTCGGAGCGGGTTTCGGGACTCGCATACGAGAGGGGGAGGATCCTGAGCTAATGAATACACACAGTTGCCAAGGGGGGGCGGGTGGCATGAAGTAAAACCCGCCAAAGAGGGGAGATGGGGGAAAACACACACATACACACACGCACACACACACACACTCTGATAACCCCCCCCGGGTGTAATGCATCCCCCCAACCCCACCCTCTCCTTCCTCTCCTTCCCTCCTTCTCCACACAGACCTGCAAGATGTCCGACGTGTAGTTGAAGTGCGGGTGTGCCGTCAGCAGCCCGGCCAGACACCGAACGGCAACTCGGGCGTGAGACAGCGTGCCCGTACCTCTCTCCACACACCGAGATGCGTCCAGCAGCGAGCGCAGGTAGGTCTGGGGGGGGAGAAGAATCAAAAAAGGGGGAGAAGGGGGAGGGGAAAGACGAACCACGAACGAGTAAAGCTGCTGCCAGGGCAAGAGTGCACCAGTCGTAGAACTGACCAAAACGGGGGGAGGGGGGGAAGCGAGGCGGAAAAGAGGGCGGAAACCAAACAAGGACCGGAACTAAAAGGCGATGGGGGAACGGGCCCATGGCTGCATCGGGGTGAGTTGTGTGGTGGTGCTGATGAGGAGGGCCGTCGTGCGTGTGTATGTGTGTCTGTACGTGTGTGTGCATGTGTGTATGTGTGTGTGAAGGTAGGGGACTACTCACCCCGCGACCCTTCCCCCCAGCCACCCAGAAGAAGAAGGTGCCGTACTCACCTGGTACGACTTGAGTAGCGTTTGCTCGTACTCTCGTAGTTTGGCGACCTCCTTGCTAACCTGGTGGGGCGGGGGTGAGGTCAAAAGGAGGCGAGAGGGGGTCATCTGCGGGATATGCGGGAGGGACGTGCATGTATGTATGTATGTATGTATGTATGTATGTATGTATGTGTTTTATGATCTTCGGAGCCGCGCTGTGGGAAATGGCGAGAGGGTGGTGGTACCGCACGAACCACTCCATACCGAAGCGATCTCCGAATAGTCCACCAGCGACCAGTGTGTGTGTTAGGACTTTCCAATGAAACCGTGTGGCGGTAGCTTGAGGATTTTTTAAGATGATGTTGATTAGAAGAGTGACGTCAAGAGTACGTAAAAGTAGAAGCAGAGGCGCCGCGCTATAGTGGAGACGAGGGGCGACTGGGTGGTGGTGGGCGGCTAGTTGACTGACCACTACAGCCAAGGAGGGCACCTGACGTCCCAACTCACAGAGTGGGACAGAGCCATAAAGACCTCCTACCTCCTGCCCTTACAAGCTAGCGGACAAAGCAGAGGCTCATGCTCTCTCCCTTACCCCCCCCCCTCCCCCCCTCGGCTCCCCTGCAGGCAACCCCAACCAACCCCTTCCCCCCCAACCAACCCCTTCCCCCCCAACCAACCCCTTCCCCCCAACCCCTTCCCCCCCTTACCAACCCCTTCCCCCCCAACCAACCCCTTCCCCCAACCAACCCCTTCCCCCCCAACCCCTTCCCCCAACCAACCCCTTCCCCCAACCAACCCATCCCTACCTTGACCTCCATCTCTTTCTCCGAGGGCGGCCGTATGCGGTAGCCGGGAAGGATATCCTTGAACACGGCGTACAGAGATAACAGCGCTAGACGGGATGTCTGGGTGTGGGGGGGGTTGGGTGAGGGGGGTGAGGGGGGGGGCCGAAGGGGGGAACGGGGTAATGAGCGGAGGTAATGGCCGTATGGCGGGCGACAGGCCGATGGGGGTAAATCCAGATGCGGACCCTCCCTAGGTTTTCACTACCCGCTTCCAGCCACAATCATCCTCATCCTCAATATCACGGCAAGGCCTCTATAACACCCCCTCCTGCTGCTGCTGCTGCTGCTACAGCTTCCGCGTGTCTCTACTGCCCTAGTCCCCACCCCCACTCCCCACATCTCTCTCCCCCTCTCCATCACGCCGGGGTAGCAGCTCTACCGCCGTTGACCCACCGCCGTTGTCGGGTATTCCCCCAACCCCCCAAAACACACCCTCGCATGGTTCCATCCATCCAAACACATACATATCTACATACATACACGATGCCCCCGGAGGTTCCGGGATCGAGACCTGTCAGGGTCGTAAACCCTTCCGATGGTGGAAGGTAAAAGTGCCCCTAGTCGATGGACGGTGGTGACCTGGGATAAAGTTAACTTGCGAGCTGACCAGGAATGGAGCTGAGCCGCCGTTGATCCAGCAGATTCCGTTGGATGCCCCGGTGGTGGGTACGGAACCTGAGCGATCCACTGAGAAGTTGACTAGGGTGACTGGATGAGGGTGGCCCGAAATACCGGGGAAGGCAGGGTTTCGCAGGGTAGCGGCCGCAGGGTGAAGATATGCCCCCCCCCTGTCCAAAAACACGGGGCCCCTACCTACCATGCTGTCATCCTCCCCCACCAGCGCCTGCAGCGTCCGGAGCTCCCCCACTCGGCTCTCCGGCGCCGTCAGCAACTGGTTGGCCGCCGCCGCCATCACCTCCTGCAGCCGGGACCTCCGCTCCGAGGGGGTCAGGGAGGAGAGCTGCAGACCCCGCAGGGCGGGAGGCAGGGAGGACTCTGCACGTGAACAGAACACGGGTGTGGGTGCATTGCTTGTCTGTCTGTCTGTCTGTCCGTGTGTCTGTCTGTCTGTATCTGTCTGTATGTCTGTATGTTACAGTACACAAGCTGAGAACGCCGCCAGGCGCGTATGACATGGGGAAGTGTGTGTATGTGTGTATGTATGTGTGGTTTTGGGGTAGTGGCGGAAGGAAAAGGGGAAAGGGGGAAAGGGAAATCACGTGCAAAAGATTAAGCACAACGCACAAAGCGGGAGAAGGGAGAGGCAGGGGGGGAGGGAGGTAAGGAGAGAAACCTTCCTCGCAGCACAGATTTCAACTGACCCAGGCGAGGAAAAACCTCCTCTCCGCTCCAACTCCGGACACTTACACACATACAGACACTTACAGACGCTTACACACATACATCCCCACCTCACCCCGCAGTACCCGGGTTCCACCCACCCACCCACACACACGCATCCACCCACCCTCGGCCTTCCTAGCCGCCTCCGCCGCCTTCTTAGCCGCTTTTTGAGCCCTGCGCTCCTCCTCCTCCGTCGCCTTGCGCTTGCTGTCCGCCAGGGCCGCCTCCATGTCGTCAGTGATGGTGACGCCCTCCACCTGGGGGCGGTGGGTGCAGGTGAGGGGGATGTTGTTGCGGGGTGGAGGGAGTGCGGGGTGGTGATTTCCCCGGAGCGGGCCGCGGAAGCGGTTTCCTCCCTTCCCTCGAGCTGGAAGATCCGGCGGCCCTGAAGAGGGCCCCCGCACACGCAGGGCCCTACGGGGCCCTCTAAAGGGGAAATCGGTCTGATGATGGTGACGACGATGGTGGTGACGATGATGGTGGTGGTGATGATGATGGTGGTGATGATGGTGGTGGTGACGATGATGATGGTGGTGACGACGATGGTGGTGGTGATGATGATGGTGGTGATGATGGTGGTGGTGATGATGATGGTGACGACGATGGTGGTGGTGATGATGATGGTGGTGACGATGATGATGGTGACGATGATGATGGTGGTGACGATGATGGTGGTGGTGATGATGATGATGGTGATGATGACGACGATGGTGGTGGTGATGATGATGGTGGTGGTGATGATGATGGTGGTGATGATGATGATGATGATGGTGGTGACGACGATGGTGGTGGTGATGGTGGTGATGATAATCAGGAGTGCGGGAAATGAAGTGAGGTCATCACGGGGAGCCTCGCGGATACATCTTCACGGATCTTCAACACTCCACCCCCCCATACACACACGGCCACACCCAGGGGTGCCAACCTCAGCCCAAAGGGGCCCCGACCCCGACCCCGACCTGGATAGCAGCCGCGGCCGCCAGCGCCGCCTCCATCTCCGCCGCCCGTTGCTGCTCCGTCGCACCCCGCTTACGGCGCCCGGCGGCGGCGTCCTCCCCTTCCGCCGCCTTATCGTACAGTACGTTCCCCGTCAGCGTCTTGATGGGCAATCCAGAGCCGGCCTTGTTCCCCCTCGGGTCTTCCTAACGGCGGGAGGGGAGAGGGGGAAAGGGGGGTCATGGAGTCTGGGAGCGGGGTCTGGGGTTATGACAACAAGAAAAGAAAGATGCTGGTGGTGACGCCGTAACGCCTGAGAGCTCCCACCCGCCTTCTGACCAGCCCCTTTCCCCCTACCTGCATGCCTCTACTTAGGAAAACAAAACAAACACAGTTGTGTTTCCCTCCCACAACGTCTCCCCCCGGGAGTTCCGCCCGCCGGCGCTTCCACCCTATACACGCACACACACACATGCGCGCGCGTACCCGCACACGGCGAGGCGCCTTCTCATATGCCGCCTCCTCATCGCCCACTTCCTCCTCTTCCTCCTCCATATCGCCGTCGGCCCGCTGTTCCTCAGCGTCATCATCACTCTCATCAGCGTCATCGCTGCCGCCAGCATCGGGTGCTGCTGCCGCCGCCGCCGCCGCTGCCTTTTGCCGTGCTGCCGCCGCCTCCTTGGCCTGCTGCTCCTGCTTGTCACGAATGGACCTGGGTTCCGGGACATCAACACCGACACGGGCATCGAAAGCGAAACCGGGAGGGGGCAAAATGTGCTTAGGGCTAACAGCGCTGTGTTGATCGGGGCTGCGCTGCGCTGTGGGGTTGTGGTGGTTGTGGTGGAGGACGGAGGACATGGATAAATGCCAAAACGCCGAAAACCGTTAAAAGTAGGTTCCCACGGCGGTTGTGAGCAGGTGAATTAGGGCGGACTGCTGCTTGCTGGTGGTTAACATCCTACGGCCCCTTCTCATGCGGGGGGCCCCTCCTGGGTCTGCAGCGCGCTGCTGTCCACCCCCATTCCCGCCCCCCTGGAGGAGCCTGTACCTGCTGTAACCCCGCGAACACGGGACTCGACCCCCCCCTTCTGGACCCCGTGTGGCACGGCGAGCGTATTGCCTCTCGTGTTCTGACCCAATTTCAGCTTTAGTTCCCTTTCCTAAAGGTGTGGTTAGGGGGGAAGGTCAGAGGTCACTGCGCTGGTCCATGGTGAGCGCCGCTTAGAGCCGTGACTGACTTATCGAGCTCTTTTTGGTCGAGCTTCTCCAGGAAGCCCAGGCGACGCCGGTGTTTCTCGACGAATTCCAGGTCCTCCTCGCTGATCTCTAGGTCAGATGCGTCACTATCATCCGCCTTGGTGACTAGCGGGACGTCTTGCAAGGCCGCGCCGCCGCCGCCCGACTTCTGCGATGCCGACATTGCCAGGACAGGTTGTCAGGAACGCCATCACAAATCCATTCAAGCCTGAGTTGAACGTGCAAATTATGATAATCGACTCTCCGCCAACTCAACGGTTTTCTGCTTGGAGTTCTTCTTATGTCCCTTCTGAGGTGCGCCAGCAGGCCCCGAGCGGCCAGGCTGTTGACGCCCGTGGGCTTTTGTGTGAAGTCTCTTTTTGCTCATATCGCCAATTCACGGAAAGCCTCGCAGTTAAGGGTTACAGCTTGTGCAGTTCGCCACACCGTAATAAATTCTATTAATTTAAGAGCACTACATGGAATTGCGGCGAAGACGTTTTCCTTTTGACTGTTCCATTCATAAAGCACTGAGGGGAGGGGGAACTCGGCGTTCGGATTCCGTTGGCCGCAACGACTACCAACTCCTCGCTCCGGCCAGTTCTGAGCCAAGTTAACGAGACGGCGCAGCAGTAAGGATGCAATTTATGTTTGATATTAAAACTTGATTTCGGTCGCCCCCATCGTTGGGTGTCATCCAACCTGACAACACAAAAAGACGCAAAGGGAGTCGATTCGACGCACGCACAGCACAAGTGCTTGGATGCCCAAAAGATTATCGACTCAAAAATTTCGACCCTGATACGATAGCTACACTGGAATAAGTGAATGCCTTTTCTGGTCGCCACGCCAAGGGGCAGGACTCCGCAGGAAATACCCTCCCTGCCACGTTCCCGCCTTGTCAAGGCCGCTTGCACAAAGCCAGCCATACCAGCACTTGACTTTTGTTGCAACCTTTGCGTCATATATAGTGCATCCAATAGCGTCGCTTGCAGTCAGACAAGTCTAAGCTCTTCCTTTCCCAGCGAACCCGACAGAGCACCCCTTAGGACCCCTCCTGGTAAACCTGAGAACCTGGGCGAAGTATATTCGCCCAGTGGATGGAGAGATTGCTGGCATGTCCGCGCGAGACGGCAAATACAGTGCGCAGGGCCTTTGGGGCTACAAAGGTTAGCGCGCACAAAAATCCTACGCATGCGCCGACTCGACTTCCTCGCAGCATATGACGACAGGTGCCTGGAACGCAACAGGGCAGCACGGAAGGCCCTGAGCTATAGCATCACGGTTGTCTACGTCCAGACATGTCGCACTTGTACGGAGTTCCGGTAACGCTGTCGTGTATTGGTTGAGACCTTTAAGTTGTGTGCTGTCCCCACGCTTTGACGCATATACCGACGAGGATGGGTCGATTCTGGGGATAATGCAGCACTGCATTTACCAAGCCCGAGGAATATGAAGGGACACATACTCGAAACACCCGAAGACGGTGTCCCATCGACAGGTGTGTGTGAACCCCCAACTGCTCCACGGCAACCAACTGCACGTACTGAAGAGCCCCCAGCTCCCACTCATGCAGGAAGGCTCGACAACACGTAAACCCGGTGGCTTTGCGAAGCTCCTGTGCCATCGCCGACACAACGGAACATCTTCTGGCGGCCGCTCAGGAAACGCTTCTCAATGCATTTCCGGTTGGTAACACAAAGTTTCTCTCATCATATATGAATTACTTTTGGGACCAGGTGGGGAGGGACTGCTTCAATCTATCCTGTGCATCATAAGACGCCTATGAAAACTGTGCGCATAAAAGTGATTACAGATTTTTATCTTTATAAACGTTATGACCATCAGGTGTGAAAGGAACCTTGCATGAGGTTTGTGAGTCCATGTCAGAAGCCGTAGACTGGAAAGTGCCCCTAGTTTGTTCCTTAGTGCTTCAGCATCTCCCTCTCTCCGCACTAATACGCTGCATTATGCCATTTGTTCATCACTTTTATAACTATGTCTTAGTCTAATGTGTCAATTCTTCTGGGACCACCACTGCTCACCTTCCATACCGCTATGGTGACTGCTGTGACCGGTGCCCAGCCTCCCATTTTTGGTGTTTCCGCCTCGTATGGTAGCCTTTTTACGCTTGGTGCAGCGCCAATGGCTTCCGGTCGCAAGCGGACGAAGGGCGACGTGTGCGAGGCCTTTCTAGGGCGCCTTGCTGAGCGGGGTGACGTGGAGCTAGACGCCGTCCTATTGGAGGGCATACGCCAGCACTTTGACAGCCTACCTACACGCTATGCACTAGATGTAAACGTAGATGGATTGGACGTCCTGAGCCATAAACGGCTTCTGGACGAGGCTCGGGCGGACCCAACGACGGTGTCATTCGCGGTGCGGCCCGTGGAAATAGTAGCCCAGCGAGCGGAGTCAGCTTTGCTCCATGAGGTGTGTTTAAGGCTTTTGTTTCATCACTTTGGCGGGTTGTGCTGAGCCTTGCCCACGCCTCGCAGCTCCCGCGCGCCAACTCGAGGAAATTGGGCTTATGCCGACCAGCTTTCGGCTCGTCCCCAAACCTTCAGGTAGCCAGCACAGCTTCCAGCGCTAGGTCCTGCCACTGTCGGGGTAATATTTCCTACGAAGAACGCTTGCCTGCAGGCGCTGGCGCTCGAAGTTGGGGAGCGGGCTGAGGGCCAAGAGGCCGAGGCCACAGCGGTCGGGTCCAGTCGGTCTGCAGACGATCATGCTGTCTTCTACGAAATAACAATTGCTTCCGTTGATCAGCCTAAGCTTCTGAGCCGGCTTTCCGAGGCATTGGTGAGCGCTGTTGTTGCGCTCTTCAAGAGGAGACTATATCTGAAAAAGGTTTCCGGTTGCAGGGGGATTTAGGTCTCAATATCCGGGAAGCCCACGCCTTCAACACGAACGATGGTTTCTCGCTAGATGTGTTCGTCGTAGATCAATGGCAACCGCAGGTACGTTACTTTGCTCTCTTGCAGTTATGACTTCACAGGTACTGACAGTTCTTGTTCGTGGACAGCCGGGGCAAAACTTGGAGGAGCTCCTGGGACAGCGGCTGCTGCAGATGCCACCGCCGCCGCCGAAGGGAGCTGCTGCGCCACCCACACCAGCGGCTGGTGTGCCAGCAGCTAGCTCGGTTGCGCTTCGTTTGCCTGTCGAGCAAACACCAACCTTCTTGCAGGTGCGCACCGCAGCAGCGGCACGCGAGGGTGTGTTCGGGGGGAGGGGTGGTGGGCTGGAGGGAATAGCGCAAAGAAAGCACAAAATCTTTGGCTAAGATTGGGGCAGCCTGCTGCAGATGACTCGTGCCACATGCAGCCTATATGCCCAATCCCTTGAAGAGCTTACACGCCTCTCCTGCATTTGCTGCCCTGCATTATTTATCCTCATGGCACGAAGCCTATCAAAACTTTGTGACACCTGTGTTCCCAGCTGCCCCAAGGCACGCGGATCTAGGGTCTAACTTCAGCTTTCCACAAGCAAGGGTTGAACGGCATGCCCACAATTAATGCCGTGGCTTGTGGGTGTGACCTGCAGGCCGCGGGGCCCCGACCCGAGTCGCCCGCAGTGGACGATTGGGAAATTGATATCACTCAGCTTCACATTGAGGCAAAGATTGCGTCCGGGGCCTTTAGCAACCTGTATAAGGGGACATACTGCGGACAGGAAGTGGCCGTCAAAATCCTTAAGGACGTGCACGATGATTCGTCCCAATACCAGGAGTTCCTACAGGTGGGTTGGGCCATGTGGTGGGGGAGCTCATATGGTAAAGAGGGACAGCACTGGCCCGCGGCAGCAGCCCCACGTGGCTTGATGCGGTCCGAGATGAGTCCGCTGATGGGGCCACATCGGGGGGGGGGACAAAACTCAATATGCAGTGGTAGGACCGCCGGTATCTATCCTAGGCTGTGTAAGTTACAAGTACCGTGCTTCTGTAGTATTTGCATGAGCACACGCCATTCGTTTACGGTCATCGACGAATTTCAGCAGGAAGTCTAACCTGCGGGGGCTGAAGGACATTCTCTGCAAATATCACACCAACCGTGTGGTGGTCTTGTGCACCATTCAGCACCGGCAGCCAAATACTAAGCCGTGATGCACCTGACTATGTTGCGGGTGGGTACGACATTTCGGGCGTTAGTCCTGCCTTTGCAGTGGTTCGGAGGCCAACTTGGACGCACTGCGGTCGCTTCCCCAAAATTACTCACATTACTGCTTGGAAGCTAGGAGGAGCTATAAGAGCGTTTTGTGGGTACGGATCTGGGTGGTGGCCAGTCGTGGGAGCTCCGCAGTGAGAGCTCCTGCTGAAGCAACAAATTTGTGATAACCCGCATGTCGCATGATATGGTGGCCATGATGCTGTTATTCCGCAATGGAGCCCCCTGGAGACTGACTGACCTGTGGGGCCTGCCTGGCCTTGCACGAATAATGTCATGTAGTAACGCTCGATATCTTAACGCATGATGTTGTATGCATACTTGTATGCCTCAGGAGGTGTCGATCATGCGGAAGGTCCGCCACAAGAACGTGGTCCAGTTCATCGGCGCGTGCACGCGCAAGCCCAACCTGTGTATCGTCTTCGAATACATGTCGGGCGGCAGCGTGTACGACTATATCAGACGGGTAAGTATTCCGTCTGCCTATATGGCGCAGAGTGATAACAGGGTGGAAGGCTTTGGGTAGTCAATAGTGCGAGTACCTCGGGGGTTCATGCCCCGTGGCCCATGATATGCCCTAGGGATGTGTCGTGTCTGGATACACTCGATTGTTTACCATTGGGCCATTTTGGGGGAATGCCGCGGCATGAGCCGGACCGGCCGCTGCGGTGTTTGGCCATGCCATGACTGCCTTGAAGTATTATGGATGGAGCTGCCCCAACCCACCCTTTCTTGGGGCTCGGCGCACCCTCTCCGGACTCTGCAGGAGGGACCGCTAAAACTTTCCGCGATCTTAAAACTGGCAGCAGACGTTGCCCGTGGGATGGACTATTTACACCAGCGGAAAATCATCCACCGGGATCTCAAGGCCGCTAACTTGCTCATGGACGAGAACGCCATTGTCAAGATAGCAGACTTTGGTAAGGACACCATCTCTGGGGGTCGGGGCGAAATGGGCCGAGCATGCTGGGCTAGGCGCTTGGTCTTGCACGTGCCCCTAAGGACATACTTACTCCTCGTCGCATGTCGGAAACGATGCACGTCGTGTATATGGCGAACCCAGTGTATATGGCGAACCCAGCATATTGCTTGGCGAGGTCACTGGCATGCAGTTGCAAGCGTAGGCCAGGTTGCCCGTACATCGAGCTTTATCCTGCGTGCCCCCTGAACGTGTGAAGGCGTGGCACGTGTCATCGAGAGCTCCGGGTGCATGACCGCCGAGACTGGCACATATCGTTGGATGGCGCCAGAGGTGATTGAGCACAAACCATACGACGAGAAGGCGGACGTCTTCTCGTTCGGCATCATACTGTGGGAGCTGCTTACTTGCAAGGCAGGTGGCGCCGTCCAGGGAAGGGTTGGGCTGAAGCTGGATTCTAGTAGCCCACAGTTGCCTCTAGTCTAGTCTAGCCTAGCCTAGTCTCGTCTAGGAGCGACGGGGCTGCGCCTGTACCCTACAGTGTATTGCGCAGCATCGCCACGCGCTGTAAGTAACCTCTATGGCTTTTTGTTGCGCCGAGCCCTGTCAGAACAGCAAGAGGTTTGCCTTTGTTTGTGTAAGCACATGGGGGCGTTGTCTCTCCGTGTGTGCATTGTTGTTGCTGTTGAGGATGCAGCGTGTCCTTGGCTGGCCTGTGCTCGCGCATATATGCCTGCACAGGACACTTTGCTTTAACCGATTAAGTAGTAGCGGTCCACATTACATACTCGTGGCTGGGTTCAAGCTAACGAGTGCGCCGACGAGTTCGTTAGCACACATTGTCTTTACTACGTGCCACATGTATCCTGTATGCGCAGGTGCCGTACTCGGATATGACGCCGCTCCAGGCAGCTGTCGGGGTGGTGCAGAAAGGCTTGCGGCCGGGCATTCCGCTAAACTGTCCCCTGCCCCTCGCTGAGCTTATGGAGGCGTGCTGGGCCGGGAACCCCGTCCAGCGTCCCAGCTTCCGCGAACTGGCGCCGCGACTGCAGGCGCTGTTTACGATGGCGCTGGAGGAGGAGAAGCGGCAGGAAACCAAGCCTGTTGCGACGAAACAGGGCCTGTTGTCGAAACTTCGTGGAAAATAAAAAACCCCTAAGTTCCTTTCGCACTGGTTCCGTAAGAGGTGCAAGCTGCCGCAGGCTACAGTAGCAGGCGAGCGCAGGCGGGCAGCACAGGAAGCAAGCAGGCGCTGACATGTCGGCATGTGGGCGCACGTTCGTGTGGTGCAATAACGCGCCTTTCGGCCCTTGGTGGTCGCGGATTGCGGCACGGGCCTCTTCGGACTGCCGCTGTCCAAGTCGACCCGCAGCGCACCTGGACTGAACTGGCTGGCTGGGGCTGTTCCTCCATGGGGGCTACAGCTGATGGGGTTCCAGTGTAGGAGAGCCACGAGTAGGAGCGCACCAGCCTGCGTGGTGTGCTTTAGCAGCTCGCGGCGATGGGGCGGTTACCATGTCGCAGCTATGCATCACCATGTTTATGGCACGTTATACTGCCAAAGGCCTTTTCACGTACACGACGGCCATGGATGGTCCTCCTCGGCTCATCTGTCCGCATTTCCAGCACCGCTAGGGAGTTTTGTGTTGCAGACTAGCAGACATGTGTTCGGTGTTCAGTGTTCATCAGTTGGAGCTCTTCAGGAGCAACGACGATGCTGTGGGAGCAGGGATGAGGAGCGGGCAGCCTGAGGCCGTGTGCCAGGTTGAGGACAGCGTGAGACCATGCTGCCATACGGCACGGGTCTTGTTTTGGAGGGGGCTGGGGTAGGTAGAAGACCTCGCTGGCAGCAGCTCTGCTTGTATGGATTAAGGCATGCCGCAACAGAAGCGTCCTTACTCATGCCGACGGAACGAACGAAAGCTCATTTGCATGTATCTACGCGGGAGCCTCCAGAATGGTGAGCGACTGCAAGGAACCTCGCCTTTGGTGGGCACCGCCAAAGGCTTAGGCCTCTTACCTCAGGTGCGCAGTTTTGGCTTCGTTGTTTTTGCTACATTGTTTGCTTTTTCAGTGCTGTGAGATTGGTGGCAATATTTGTGCGGCGGTGACGGCTGCCGGTGCGCCTAAAATTACAGGGGTGGGATTCGCGAATGATGTGTGGTGGGCTACGTGAGTCGGGGCGATTCTGCTGGATGAAGCTGGGACTCAAATGCTCGCCCTGCGATTGATAGGTGCGCCGACTGACGGTTCCACCGGCGAGTCCTCCGGTTGGATGGGATTCTGCATGCAAGCTGTAGTGATGGGTAGGCCATCTTGCTGGTGGGTGAGCAATTAGGTAAACGAGCCGTCGGTGTGGTCCGTCCACTTCGAAACTGGATGGAGGTGCTTTCGTGTAGGGACGCAATGGGGCGCGGGAGCTGTACGCGCAAAGCTGGTGGCGTTGTATTTCGGTGGGCATTGTTGGAGAGTGTGAACTATGAGGCTGATGATGTAGTAGCGCTAGTACATATGTTTTGAGGGCTATTCAAGCAATGTCTTTGTGAGTACGAGTCGTTTTGAGGTAGCTTTTACATAAACGGCTCTATTCAACGTGCACGATTGACTCGTTAGTTGCCATTCATACCGGGGTAACGAGGGTGCAATGGCACAGCTCCGGACACCTGGCGCGGGGCATTAGCAAATGCTCCGGTTTGCGGTGTGAATGCGTGGGAACTTTCTCCGGACTTTGGTGTGGCCTTCCCTGCTTTTAGTTCACGGACATGAAATGGCTACGGAAGCAAGGATTTGAAGTGTTATGGAGAGATATTAGGCGCCTGACTGAAATGTGACAGGAAAGGACCCGTACAAGGATATCACGGGTGTGTAAGTCTGTACGATGGTACGCAGCACGCAGCAGCGTGTGGTTAATAGTTGTGTAACAACCTGACTCTTGTCATTAGCGCTTCCAATCAAAACAGGATTTCCTTAGTTGAGAGGTGCAATGGTTAAGGGAAGTGACATGATAAATGGCACAAATGCCAACAGGCCACATCCAAAACCAGAAGTCGTGTCATCCACGGAATGTAAGATGTGCACTCCTTTCACGTAAGCAGGATTACATATTGCTCTGCAACATTGCTCTGCAATAAAGTCCGAATCTTCACTACAAAACCAACATTCATCATTGTCTACGCTCTGCAACATTTTGAAAGACAGCACGAAATGGTAATTAGCACTCCTGTACGCACCTGTAGCAACTGTACACAACAAAAGCCAATGGACCCTTCCCCCCAAGCTTTTCACCCAACCGCTCAAGGAAGGCTTTGCAGTTATGTGATACCCGTCGCGGCCGCGTGTACACACCGCCATTAAAACAATTTTCATAACATTGCATCATTGCTGCCAAATCCCCCCGTTACCGCATTTAATATGTTGTCCTTTCCCAACGTACATCGTTAGTCAACAGCACCCTGTGAGAGGGCACTAGCACGGCCTGTCCAGGGGCACTCCGATCCTGTAGGACGCCAGTGTTACGTTCATCCTAATAAGGCGAAACGCATTAATATCCTCTCAAGCCTCAAAGCTGTCGTCAGATGCGGACGGCTTACTCACATGGCTACCGGCGGGAGAAGTAGAAGTTTAGGGCTAGAGCAACCAGCAGTATGAGGAGCGGAAGGATGACGTGGAACGTCCGAGTCGCCGCGTCCTTCTGCTTCTGCTGCTTCTGGGTGTTCCGGCTTTGGGGTGGGACTTGAGCCGCGGTAGGAGCGCTGTCACCGCCCTGCGCCCGGAATGATATGGCTAGGGTTATGTGGTGCTCACCACAAGTGCGGCTGCACGTGGGCTAACCAGAGGGGTAACCCCCATCGTACTTCAGGCAGCCCAATGACATCCCTCCAATAACATTTGTCAGCACACACACACCTCGAAGTCACCAATTAAGTACTTTTCGAGGAGCTTCTTCGCCGAGTTGCTGTGTCCAATTTCTTCGAAATCTTGGGTCGCGTCCTTCCCTGTGATGGCATACAGGGTAAGGACGTCACAGAGAATGTATTATGGACTGTAAGACATTGGCAGACAAGGCAGGGATGCTAGGTGATATCAAGCGCGCCTTCCACCTGCGCCAACGCACTAGCTACCAACGCCACCTAACGCGCCTGGAACCCAGTCACCTTCACAGGAAGATCATTTGCACGAAGTTTGCTAGTATAACCAAGCGCACCTGTAGATGAAAGGATTATGTCATAGCCGCCCGGGTGCTCTTCCAAGAAGGCCGTAACATCATAGACCTTGCCATGAACTACTAGCCAACACGACTTATCATTCGTATGCACCTTAACGTCAGCAAGCGTGTAAACCTTCTGGGACATAGTTGCTGATCAAGTAGCCTCAAGTTGTTGAGGGGTCTACAGCATCAAGCAATCCCAGTGCTTCCTTAGACGTTATAAGAGACGAATCTTTTACCATTTTAACTTCAACGGTGAGTCGCATCCGTCAAGAGGTCAAGTTGTACCGCCTGTCATGTAGTTTCAAATCCTTGGGCGCAGACCTGTGGCGCAACCATACTATATCGTGGTTATTATGAGCAGGACTTTGATAGCGCTGGGCTGTTGTTGGCGACAGACAGTTTTGATCGCGACGTATATCGAACGGTGGTCAACGCCGCCTCGGCACACGAACGCACGCATGCACTCTCCTGTGCGCTGGACGGGCTCCCTCGGTAGAATATTTATGATAAAGGAAACCACGAAGATGTCCCAAGGTGCATGCACATGGAGATGCAGACTTCGAGCATCCGAAACTTCAAAAACGTCAACATGCTCTGACAGTGGTATTTATGTCGCCAGTCGCCTCCATTGCGTTTTCGGAATATAATTTATGGTTGCGAGCATGGTCTAGGACATCCGCATGCGTGCACATAGAGCAACGTTTTGCTGAGGTACAGCCCCAAGTCTTCAACCCTTTAGCTCATAGACCTGTAATGAACAAGGATTTCGGGGTTTAGCAGGCTGGAAGCTGAAGTAGCAATAGCTGCAGCCAGCAAAACGGCCCCACCTCGCGAGTCCAACCCTAACTGCCGAAGTCCATCCGCCAACATGCCAAAGGCCAGCGCGCATGTAATTACAAATCATGCCGCACCGTGCTCATTTGGCTCCGTATCATTACATCTGCAACTTAATAAGATGTGCCGTTTACTGGAGAGCTACTTCGGCTTGATTCCAGGTTATACCGCTTGTGCCGTCAAGGGATCTCTGAAATGCATCAGTCCTTCAGCCGGGGATATGCTAAACCATACAGGAATGCGGGTATGTACCGATGAGGGTTTTCAAGCTTGTTACATGACGAACGACCGTTCGATAATTCAAGAAGGCCAGGGATGGCTGGCTTTCGGTACGACAGCTGTATCACGACAGGCTGTGTTACGACAAGGGAAGGCCAGCCCCGCAGGCTTCACCCAACCGCTTTCGTCTCTTAGCTGCCCGATGACAAAGGGTCACATGGACGATGCCAGTATCTAGCCGCAACTTGCAGTAGCAGTCGCGGAGGACAACTCGTTGTCAGCACCAACGCCCAGAGTGCCCCCCGGGAACCTCGTGAGCTGACAGACCAACGTTGCGGTTGCTGCAATCCATTGAGCAAAGCTTTCGCGACGAAGCATGCAGTCTGGCCGTTGAAGACTCGACGGGTATCATCAAGCTTCCAGTCATCAAAAACATCTTAGCGACTGCAAGGGGATTACAAACAAGCAACTCCTCATCGGGTCAGCCCACCCGGGTGGCCGCCTGCAGCGCCAATTCAGCTACCTAGCACTCCCCCAGCCCAGCAGCAGACTTCCGGAGGTGTTGCGCCTTCAAGTGTGCGCAGGATTCCGTGGATTGCCAAATCCGTAAGGATGTGCACTCAGCTGCGGTCGCCAGTAGCAGGAGAGATAACTTCCTAGCTGCGAGGAAAACCACCTTAGGCTGAAGGGAGTGCAAAGGGAGGGGCCCGAAGATAGCACTGTTGCGATGTATAACGACGCCACTACTGACTATTCCGAGCCCACTTAAGCCCGCTGGGCTTTACTGAGCTCCACTCATGCCCTGCTTGATGAGCTGTGTGTGGCTGTACGCGCTCCGCAGAGACTGACTGACGCAACTGCGGCACACCCCACCATTGCACCCGACGACTGCCAGGCCATGGGCCTCTCTCAACTCCTCCCTTAGCGCCTCAAAAGTCCTCAGGCCCTAACCCGACCGCAGGCCCTTCCCAGCCCCCACCAGCACAATCACCGACTTGATAGACCCCCCGGGTCCTGTGTACACCACGTGATGCCATGTGTGCCAGTCGGCACCCCGCGACGCAAGAGGGGGACCATGGCAGAACCCCTAGGAGCCCACAGAAGCTAAGGAACCGCAAAAACAGAGGTGCTGTGGTCGATCGCACTGCAGGCGCCGGCCAACAGGATGAGGTCAGGGGCTATCGGCAGCAAGGGCAGCAGAGCAGGATCGTGGTTTGATGGCGCATACCCAACACACATGATCCCGCAGCTTTCTGCCACCAACAGACAACAGACACGCAAAAGCAATGTGCGGATATGTCCGTGGGCGAAACCGTGAGATGGCACTGGAGGTCAAAGTTGCGGCAGACTCCGCGAGTCCCGTAGCGAGCCCTGCAGTGAAAAAGCGCATGGGCGAGGCCTCTGTCCAGTGCTGTGATCGGCATCGTCATCGGACTGCGCCAGGCTGAGATTGCAATGCCGCAATGTGGCCTGGCAAGGGAGCAGATTGGACCAGGGGTCACGCTGATGGCGCTCCCGTTGCTGGGTGTTCCCATACATACACCCTCATAAATACACGCTACCGCCCTGCCTCTCAAAACGTACGACATGAATTTGTACACACACACACATACACACTCTCTCTCACGCGTACACATGCGCACTCGCGTTGTGTTTCACGTGCATGCAATCTTCCCGACGTACATGTCCGCATGCTACTGCCGCAAGTTTAGCTGGCTCCTGCTCCTGCTCCTGCTGCTGCTACAGCCGCGTTTCCCACTTGTTGCTGCTGCCCTCGCCTGGGACTCCTCAGCTCGGCCGCCATCCACATGCCCCCCTCCACCTCCAAGGTAAGGTTGACACGTTGCCGCGCCAACGCCCCCTCCACACCGCCCATCCGTTGATCGTCCAACCGAAAACGGAACCGACTAAACAGGTACGACAGTACGGCCTTGATCTGCAGCATACCCAGATGCTGCCCGACACAGTTGCGACTCCCCTCACTGAACGGCATGTAGCGGGTTGCCTTGCTACTGCTGCTACTGCCGCTATTATCACTACAACTGCTACTGCTGTTGTTGTTCAATGAAACCCCCTGGTGATGGTGCGCACCGCCAACGTCCCTGGTGGTGGTGGCGGCAGCGGCCGCAACGGGGCAGCGGGCAGCAAAAGTGGTGACGGCGGTGCCGCTGGTGTCGCCACTTCCTGATGCGCCGTTGCTGCTGCCGCTACTGCTACTGCTGCTGCTACTGCTGCTGGTAATGAAGCCGGTGCGGGGATTGAGGTTCATCCATCGCTCCTGCAATAACAGCAGCAGCAGCAATCGATAGCTACTAACAGCCGGGAGATTTGTTATGTCACGTGGAATCCACGCCACAGCTATCAATGTACACTCAACCGACAACTGCCGACGACCCAACCCAACAGAACTAACCAACTCACCGGTTGGAACTCCAGCGGCCGTTCCCAGTTGCGCTCCGAGAGGTGCAGGCTCCAAAACGGCACCCAAACTGTCGTACCCGGCTCCACCTCGTAGGGCCCTATGCGAGTCGGCGGGGACTCCGGCGGTAGGACTTTGACGGCGCCGTTGGGTGCGACGCTGAACATGCGCAGGCACTCTCGTACGAACGCGTCCAGGTACGGCAGGGAGGACAAGGCCTCATGGCTTCCATGGAGGGCTAAGAAGGCCGCCAAGACAGGGTCTTCATCCGCAGAAGAGAGGTCGGCATCGTCAGCCCCCGGAGAGGGGATCAAACCTGTGTGGCGGAACCGGATCCAGGTTTGGATTTTAAATTTGGATACGAAACCGTATGGGGGAGAATTTCTCCTCTCACTTGAGTGGAATGAGCAAATCCACCCACCCATCCACCCACCCATCCACCCATCCATCCATCCATTCGTCCGTCCACCCGTCTTAAAGCGGAATCCATCCATCCATCCATCCATCCGTATGGGTAACCAGTGGTGACCTCCCCAGCCCGGAGTATTGCCTCCCCGCCGTGTCCGGCTCTCCGCCGCACCAAGGAAACGCATCTGTGTAATCGCGAGTTCGGAACCAAGGGCAGTCCCAGCCGGCCCCAGGCCCAACCCCGTCTCCCCCCCCTCCCACCGTGACTCCGCAGCTCCTCCTCCAGCTTGGCGGCTGCCTCCGGGTGGGCATCTAGCGCGAATAGCATCCAGGTAAGGGTGCTGGAAGGGGGAGGAGCGGGGGGAGGGAAGGGGGAGGGAAGGGGGGAAGAGGGGAAAACGTGGAAAGAGGGAGGGAAAAGGGGGGGAGGGAAAGAACCACGAACCCGAGTGAAGCTGCTGCCAAGGAAAGAGTGTATAAGAAGCAGAACTGACCAGTAGGCGGTTTTCAAGGAGGCGACCTCGGGATGATGTAATGATGACGACGACGCGGAAACCTACCTACCTACCTACCTACCTAGCTAGCCTCCAAGACTAAAATAAGGGCGGAAGAAAAGCAGCAGAGCGAAGCCGTAAAGAAGGGGGGAGGGGGGAGGGAGTGGAGAGGGGTTTTCCAACTAATGTTACAATGAACGGGGCTGCGGCGGGCACAAGCGATGGACGCGTGACCACAGAGGGTGCTGGCGAGGGGAGCGCCACCTAGAGTGCTATGAGTCGTGAGGCTAAAGACATCAGGGTCTTGCTTTGGAACGTGTGGGGTTTGTCGGTAGCTAAGCTCACCGACCCATCTTTCCTCCGCATTGCCCAGGACCACGATGTGCTAGTATTTACGGAAACACACTGTTCGGCGCAGGCCGGGAAGCCGGCCAAGGCCCTGGCCCTGCCAGGGTTTCAACTGCATGTAGCTGAGCGAGCCTGTAGAGGCGGAGCCGGGCCCCAGACGGGCCGGCTGCACGGGGGTGTGTCTGTTTATATCCGGGACGCGATTGCCCGGGATGTCACTTTGTTGAGGGTTGACACGGATATTGCGGGCTGCGAGTCTATTTGGTTGCGTTTGGGCAGCAAGCAAACAGGTCAGGATAGCACCCTGGTGGGTGCATGCTACGTCTCCCCCAGGGCGTCGGTAGTACACCACGCGTCCCTGAGGGCACACGAGTCTGACGA